ACAGTCCTCTTTCTTTTTACAGGGAATAAGTATCACAGCCTTCATAACAGTTCTTGTGCTCAAGGAAGAGAGGCTTATTCTATATAACACAAGGCCTTACCCCAAAAGCTATATGGGTTGATATAGGATCCACTCTAATCCGAGTGGATCCTTTGCCCCTTGGACCTCGTGCTTGGTAGTTAGAATGAAGAGATTCTAATGTTTATGTGAAAAGAACCTNTATAGGATCCACTCTAATCCGAGTGGATCCTTTGCCCCTTGGACCTCGTGCTTGGTAGTTAGAATGAAGAGATTCTAATGTTTATGTGAAAAGAACCTATCTCCCACATTGAAAGTCAGGCCACAAAAAATTGGTTTATATGGCAAGGTGCATCTCTACACATTGCCAATTTGTTTTGAATTGAATGATCCAATGGTAGTGAATCAAGTCTCCAATCGTTTAAAGTTTCTGATATGTTAGCTCGTCTATATTGGTTTGGTTTGTTAGCTGATGTGCGAGTCCAGTTCGCAAATAAATAAAGGTGTAAAGAGAGCTAATATCGCAAATCTAATGCTTTGGGTCACCCAAGGTTCTTTTATTTTGAGTCAGATGCTCTAAGCATTCAAATATGGCATACGTACATCTTGGGAGTCATAGTTCCACCAACTGCCCAAAAACAAAAAGAAGGAAGAAGGCAACACCAGAGAATAGTTTCTTTGTATGGTATCCAGCCCATATGTTGCATATCACAAATTCGATGCTCAGTATGAAGCATAAATCATTAGAAAGCTTCTGACATCTTAAATAAACAATATTTTCAAAAAAACAAGCCACATGCAAAATGTAACAGAATGGGAGAAAGATACAAATTACAAAAACTCGTTGTTCATGGAATGTTGAGACATGTGAGCATCATTAAGTAGGAACAAAGAAAATATCCCAAAAGGAGACAGGGGACAAAAGATGTGGACGTGGAAAGCTTTTGTGTTTCTTAATGTTCATCTGGTAGCAAGTCTTAGACAAACAAGAGAATAAAATGCAAAATTTGTATAATGATAGCATCAAACAAATGCAGTACTAAAGAAAATAGGATGTCCAAAAGCTATGTTATTATTCAGAAATCAAGAGACTTGTGGTATATAGACTAACCTTCCGGTAGTCCTCATTTGACAAGCTGTCCAATAGCTTTGGGCCAGACGTGAAGAATCCGCGTCCCAGAGGACTGTATGCAACAATCCCAATTCCAAGCTCCCTGAAATTTTTAAGAGAGATAGAATTGGATCCTGAGATTTCTTTTAACCGCCTCCTCAAATAAGTTAGCAGAATATATGCCTAACCTGCAAGTAGGAAGAATTTCTTCCTCCCCGTCTCTTGACCACAGAGACCACTCCAGCTGAACAGCTGTTATTGGATGAACAGCATGTGCTCTTCTAATGGTAGAGGCTGAGGCCTCAGATAGACCTATGTATTTTATTTTCCCCTCTTCAACAAGTTTCTTCAGTTCTCCCATCTTACAAATGACATTTTAAAAGGAATTAGGAGAAAGTCAGTGGTAAAGCTTGGTCAAAGAAGGAAACCCATATTAAGGATAGAGATGTTCAGAACACTCATAAACTTATTTCAGGAAAAAGAGCGCATGACCTTGTAACACAACTTCGAGCATTGCATAAGCACTCCATAACGCAAAAATGTTCACTGCTCATAGGAAGTATAATATTAAGCGTTTATAGTGTAGCAGCATGTGTTCGTAGTAACACACATCCAAAACTATCCCAGAAAGGACTTGAACACTTCAGCTTCCCCTTTGGGGCTAATAGGACAAGCCACTCAAGCTTACTGTGGCTGCACTGGGTGGTACAATCTGTATAATAAAACTGAGAATATATATAAAAGCTGTATATTCTTTCGCTGAATTTATTTCCACGCATTTACTTTATATAAGAAAGAAATGTTTGGCCAAAAATCAGAGCTACTAAAACTTAACAGTGGTCCAAAAAAAAAATAGGGAACTTTACCATTTGTAAGTGTTAGTTAATTATACATTTACAGTATTTGTAAATTTGTTTATCGGATTACTATTGTTTCAAAATTATTTATCAACATACAACACTTTTTAAAAGTGTGTTTAGACACGCTTTCATTAAAAAACGTGACTATAAAACACATTCTCACTATGAGAAGAAAAATTATACAAAAAGTCCTTTTATAACGTGTCATTTAAACACGCTTTTGGAGAAAAGCGTGTTTAAGAAACACACTCTTACTGTGAACACAGGCTAACTGCCGTAAACAATCCTAATGCACTTTTTACTTCTTTCATAGCAATTGGCAGCTGCATGAATCTTGTGTGGAAAATTTCCATGACATGTGGCAACTTGCATAACAGGTGCAGCATTATTTACGAACCTGTGTGGCAGTAGCTAAGTGGTGGACCTGGTGGATACTAAGCATGCACCAAAGCTTGAGAATAAGACCTCCAAAAACCAACTGGCCTCCATGCTAATAGAGAAGACTAAGAAATCAAAGATTTGTCGAGACCCAGTGCACAAGCAATCACTGAGATCAGAACCGAAGGAGTTAAAAGTAACGGAACTGAAGTCAGACCCAACGACGAAAGATATGAAGCCAAATGCTACTTCTTTGAAGGGCACATCTTGACACTACCACTCAATTGGCCTCTTTCGGCTGGTGATTCAAATTTGTATGTCGGATTCACTACTTCTGGCTTAGTTATTCTTTGCCCAGATCAGTATTATTCTTGTATAAAGAATGGCTTGTATCTACAGGCTTCATGGGGTGTTGGACATGCAAAGCTTTCTTAAAAGAATAAGGAGCAGAGAGAGAGAGAGAGAGATTCTAGAGAATGAGGAGGAGACAACAGGTATTCGAAACTATAAAAGTCTTAAAAGGAGATAGTGAGTTGGCATGAATTTTTTCGGTTGAATACCACATATTAAAGAGTAATCCTGTAGGGACCTAGTGAGGGACTTAATTCAATGGAGGTGTTTGATAAGCTGTGAATTTCAATGTTCGATGGAGTCCCCTTCTAATCCAATAGCTATATTGGATTATATCCCCAAACCAGTTCCTCAAATTAGGTCCCTGCAACATTTTTCTTATAGATAAGCATGTCTAAGAGAAACACGCTTTTTACTAAAAGTGTATTTAAAAGACGCGCTTTTAAAAGGATCTTTTTGTATCTGCTCGCGGGGAAAGAGTGTTCTATAATCATGTTTTTTTTTTATAAAAGCATGTTTATTAAATATGTTTTTAAAAAATGTCGCATGTTTTATAAATAAGTTTGAAACAACGATAAAACGGTAAAAACATTTAAAAAATATGGTAAATGTATTATTAACTATTGTAAGTCTCCTTGAGAAAGACATCTAGAGATATCTAGGAAATACAGGATAATAAAAACAATGAAAGACCCGATACAGAGTTTTGCCTTCTATCCAGGTAAGATTGAGGAAATATGGCTGACCATTGAATGGGAGATGAACATAGTCACATTCATAATATTATTGTGTTTTTGGTCAAAAATGGTTGTACATAATTCTTGCCATTAGAAATTTGAAGGCTAGTCCAGGATAGAGTGAACAATACATACCGGATGTTGGTAATCTATGTTTTCTTTTTTTTTGTTTTTTCAACTCATTTTCTGTCTCTAACACAAATCATTTATTTTGAATGGATGAATTTTAGCAAAACAGAACTAGAAATGAATTTTCAAGAAAAAAAAAAAAGAAAGGAAATTTTGCAAGTAACTAATTAATTACACCAAACAAGGGTACAACTTGGGTTGCCAACGAAGGTTCAACCCAAACTCACTAATTCGATATGAATCTCGAAAACACGACACCAGAATCAATAAACCTGTAACATTCTCTATGACATAATTAGAAAAAAGAGGCAAAAAATAGCAAATTTACCGTGACTTCAATGGGCACTTGAGTGTCAATGCGATGCTGGTAATACAAGTCAATGCAATCGATGTCAAGCCGCTTCAAGCTGGCCTCGCAAGCAGCCCGCACATATGCCGGATCACCATAAACATCTCTGTTCCCGTCTGTGATCCTGATCCCAAATTTCGTCGCCAATTCCACTTTCTCTCTCACCCCTCCCTTCAAAGCCTACACATAGAAAACCCATCACCATACCCATCAATATTTCACAGAAACATAAACATAAAACAAACAGCGGGTGTGCATAGATCTGAGTTGTGAGGAGTACCTTTCCAATAAGGATTTCGTTAGTGTGGGGCCCATATACGTCGGAGGTGTCAAACAAGGTGATACCACTGTCAACGGCATGGTGGATGAGTTTGATCATGTCGGCATCGGGCTTGGGAGGGCCGTAGAAAAAGGACATGCCCATGCAACCTAGTCCCTGAGCTGACACCTCAAGACCTTGTTTACCCAATTTGATCCTCGGCACTTTTGTTGCCATTTTTACTTTCTTCAAATTTCTTCTACTGCGAGTGAGGAGCGAGTGTGCTTAATTTATACAGTGATGCTCACCTAATCCATGACGTAGGCATGGATAGTTCGTCAACGGGATCGGGTCGAGCTAGCGTAATGGCTTATGTAATTGGCTTCGATCAAATTTTTTCCTGATCGATCTCATTTAATTATTAAATGACAAATATGTCCTGTAATAGTCCAACACTACAGCCACCTATGTTGGGTTTTTTTGTCCTTTCGCTTGCTCAAATTTCACCTATCTATGTTAGTCCCCCTTTCCTTCGTAGATAAAACAAGGGTTTTTTATCTACCAAACCCTAAACTGGGAGATCGATCATCTTTAAAACGATAGATTGTAGCGGCTGACACTATCTGCTGAAAGTAGTTGGTTATTGTTGTTAACCACCTCTCAATCGTCGTATTTCTTGGACACTAATATCGAGAACCTAACGATTTCATCAAGTGAAACAAATCCTAACCTTTATTATTTTCCTCAAAATCAAATATTGAAAACCATGTTGTAGTTGGTGTTTTTGTGGGTTATTTTCACTTTCTTGATGGCGGGTGGAGTTGCTGCACCACCTAAGAAGAGGAAAGTTATTGATAAAGGCAAGAGTTCCAACGTTGATAAAAGATTCTATAATGATGCTGCTGAAAAGACGTATAATTCATGCTTTTGTCATCGTCCTTTGTTAATGGAGCGTGGTGTTTCATTGGATAATTTAAGAGCAACAGATTGCCCTAGATTTTTTGAAAATCGAAATTGAAATTCTTTGTTTGATGTTGAAAAGGATGAAAAAGCATATGATAAATTGGTGAGGTTATTTTGTGCAAACATCCACAACTTTCATAAGATCGTCACATCTTTAGATCTCAAGTTAGAGATAAAGTGATAGACATGAGCCCTGATTTGATTGCAAAAATTTTGGAAGTACCCCGCCCCTTAATTTCTGAGAATACCATTGTGTATCCTTATAAGAAAAAGGAACAAGTCCCTGAAATTGGGAAGGTTATTGATGAAATTTGTGATATCCCTATTGTTTGGGTGGATAAGAACACAAAAATTGGCCAGAAAAACCTTGGTTTAAGCTATAGGATGTTAAATCGTATAATTTTGTGTAATATCAATCCTAGAGGACATATAGTTGATTTTGGATCTGATAGAGCTCAGCTGCTTTATGCAATTGGGACTGGGGTATGTATAGATCTTTCCTTTTACATATTCAATCTTATTTATAATGCATCTAAAGTGATGGATAGAAGGCAAAATCTTCCATTTCCCATTTTGATTACCAAGATTTTAAGGCATAGTGGAGTTGCGTTTCAGCCTAGCGATGTGGTGATGCATGCCATGAGTTTGATAAATGAGGGTACACTGAAAAAGAGTTTGGGTCAGGCTGAGTCTTCTCATTGCTCTAACTGTGCACCCCCATCTAGTGGCCAATCTGAAATTGTTCATGAGACCGACACACATGTTTAGATTATTTTTTAAAAAAAAATTCTTGCTTTTTGAGATGCAAAAATATTAATTAAATATTTATATTGAAGTTTCATTGCCATATTTTTTTTGATTACTGGTATTGTTACCTCATTTAATCTTTCTTGTAACATAGTTGATCTTATATAAGATTTTATCAATTTTAATTTTGAAAAACTTCTTTATATAAAAGAAACATATAGTTATAGAAATTGTTAATAATACTCTATAAACTATGCATGTATTCAGAAAATAATCTAATCTTGTTATATAACTTAATATTTCAATTTGAGTACTTTATTGTGTAGATAAAATTTCCTTTAAAACTTTTTCTGAAAACAAATCTAAACCATCAATATCAGAAAAAACTATCATATTTTAGAAAACACTCAATATCAAGACAATATTTTTTTAAACTATCATCTCCTAATGATTTTAGTTTCTTTAAATTAAATAAAAAACCAAATATATTTTCATTATTAGAAATTGTCCAAATCTATTATATAACGAAGAAATAGATTGATCTACCATACATATAAAATAATCAATTCTAAAAGATTCTTCAACAGATTTTATTAATTCTACTTGAGTTGACAACTTTATATCCACTTTTACAGGTACTTTTTTTTTTATAATTGTTTTGGTTCATGAGCTAGCGAAATAGGTCAAAACTATATCCAATTTAAATCTAACTTTAACTTTTTTGTAGGACTTAAATTTTTGTAAAATTGAATTTTTATTTTGGTAGGGTGGTTATAATTATAAATTATGGAGATTAAAAACAGGCTTTGATGGCCTTAAGCCTGCCCAGTCTATTGGACATAGCAATAAAATACAATCAATCAAACCCCAAGGTAGTTCAAGTGGAGATATGGACGAGCTGTAAATCTAGATGTTTTAAATTTAAAACTTGACAAGCCCTTGAGGTCAACCTCCTTAGTGTCAAAACAATTTAATTAGTATGACGAACCTCCATTAATTAGACAAACCAAGCTTTGGGCAATAGCAGAGCCACGTGAGGACGGGGGGGGG